AGGTAACAAGGGCAGCTGGGGCCAAAGTGCTGGCAGCCGCCGGGGTGAGTGGGGCGTGAGGTGACCCCGGGGACCTGCCTTGTGCTTCCTGTGGAGAAGCAGTGGGGCCTCCTGGGCCGGCAGAAGGGAAGCCTCCACATCTGTCTGTCCTTGTCATCTGAAAGAGCGTGGTACCCAGAGGGCCACTGACACATGGAGGGTGCTTATGACCCATTTACTTATTTTTTTGAAACACGGTCTCACCATATAGTTCAGGCTGACCTCAAATTCACTGTGTGATTCTCCTGCTTCAGCCTCCCTGCCAGCGCTGGAGTTCTAGGCCTGCCTGCCCTGCCTGGCATGCATGGAGGACCTGGTCTTCTTAGGTCCTGTTTCTGGGAGAGCAGGTGTGGCTGAGCCTGGAGAGCCTCTCCCCACTGCTCCAGGGGCAGAGGGAAGGGCTGGCGGCTGTGGCAAGGGTCTTTGTCAGGCACAGGCTCCAGATGCTGGTGTCCTGTGGTGTGGGCCTGCGGGGCTGTCCTGTCCCCACCTTGGCCTGGGAGCTCTCTGGATGACCTCCACGGGTCTTGTCTCCAGCACCGACTGGAAGGCAGGTGCCCATCGGCCTGGGGAGGGCCAGCCCTGCCCTATCTGTCCTGTGCCTCCAGCCTGGGGGCCGCTGAGCTGGGCCCGCCTGGGAGTTTCCTTCCAGAAGAGTCGCATTGGGTTAGCTGTGGCCCTGGCCTCTGGCTCCTCTCTTTCCCTCACGGGCTCTGCAGGGGCCTGGTGCTAGCCCCGATGCCCTCTGGCTGCATGCCCCAGGTGCCACCGTCTGTGTGCTGGGGTTTTCCCATTGGGGATCTGAAGAAGCTCACTGGGGTGAGTTCTCTAGTTTGAGCTGCTGGGCCGCAGAGACTGCCGCAGATGCGTCCTGCCACTCCTGGGTCTTGGCACCTTCTCCAGGCAGCAGTGGCTGCGTGGCTGTGGGCGGTGTGTCTGGAGGCTGGCACAGCCCCAGCCACCTCTGCGCTGCTCAGCCCTGCCACATGAGCAGCCTCTATCCTCCCGACTTCCTTCCTGGTGCTGCCGGCTGACATGGACACAGTTGAGGAGACCTCTGCTTTCTGGGGCCAGGGCTCGGGCAGGGGCTGCTGCTCGGTGAAACTCATGTCTGCTGCCTGGTTTTCCCCGCCAGTGCCAGTGAGCCCTGCTGCATCTGCCAAGCTGCTCTGTGATCGGGAGAGAGACATGGGAGGCCGAGGAGGGAAACAGCTCTTTACACCCAGAGAGCTGGGGAGATGCTTGTGAGCCCCAGGCTGGACAGCCATGAGTGGAGCTCCTACTGCCCACCAGGCGGCAGGCACAGCTGCCCATGCACAGAGCTTTCCTGGAGCTCAGAGTGGAACCACTGGTCACCCCTGGCCATTGGGCCATTGGCTTGTTTGACGAGGGCGGGAGGGAGAGGGTGACAGAGGGAGGGGAGAGGAGGAAGAGAGAGGAGGAGAAGAGGGAAAGAGAAGGGAGGGAAGGACAGAAAGGGACAGAGAGAGGTAGCCAGAGAGGCCCTGCCCCTGCCCGGTGTGCTCCAGGGGCCTGGACACACAGGGCACAGTAGTGTAACTTCCTGCCTCACACAGCCTTGATTAAGCTAACAGCTGACCTGGCTTGGAACTGATGTATTTTGATCTTATTATTTTTATGTTAGAAGCCTCCAAATCATCATCATTTCTGCAGCGCCCCAATTAGCAGACCATTCACAGTAGACTGAAAATTGACTTGTTTTGGGTCTCTCCATTAGCACCGCTGGAGAGATGTCCACCCTGCCTCGGAGGAGGCCTGAGGCTGCGCTGCTGCAGGTGGCCGAGCCAAGTGAGGGCAACGGTGACTTGCTCACAGCCACATGTGACTTGGGGGTGCTGCGGGGAGACGAGAGGCCCAAGGAGAGGGCTGGAAGTGGCTCCACTGGCACCCTGGCCTGCCCTGGCTTGGGCCTGTGCTGTGCCTGTGCTGAGTCAGTGCGCCCTGCCTCTGGTGGGTGGAAACTCTCACCCCTGTTGATAGAGCACAGAGGCCCAGAGCTGAGACGTCTGTGGCCATGTGCTGACTGCTGCCTGAAACGGCAAAAGTGGAGCCAGGCATGGCGGCGCACACCTGTTATCTCAGCACACAGGAGGCCGAGGCAGGAGGGTCGACACGAGTTCAAGGCCAGCCTGGACTGCACAGCAGGACTGCACAGCAAGGGAGGAAAAAGCGCAGTCAGAACTTGGGGCCTGAGGTTCTGATTCTCCCCAGGAGCCAGCAGCTGTCTGACCTGGGCCCTCTTTCCCCTCTCCTGGGCCCGGGCCTTCCTGTGGGGCTCCCACGCTGGCCACACGGAGTTTACTGTCCTCTGAGACCCCAGGAGCACCCTCTTTTTCCCTGGCATGGATGGTGGGGTTCATCCCCTGGGTGGGTGGTTCCCGGGGCTGGGGCAGGGACTGGCATGGGGGGCGGGTGTGCCGTGTCCTGGCAGGGTACCGGAGAGCGCGGGGACTGTGGTATGGGGGTCGGGGAGGGGGCAGGGTGGGACGAGAGTGTGGCGTGACCGCCTGCTGCGGGCATGGCACGCACCTCTGACCTGGTGTCCTCTGCCGCTCCCGCTGAGGCTGCAGTCCTGGCTGTTTACGCCTGGATGATGTGCGGTGTATTTTATAAGACTGCTCTTAAGAGATTGTGCATGCTGCCTCTTCGCATTAAAGAGGTTGTGTACAAAAGGGGAGAGAACAATCCAGTCATCACCGCAGTGCCTTGGCTTTTAGGGCCTTTTCTTGCCTTTTCATAAGAGCTCTTCCTGTCTGGCTGTAATCAGTGCAGCGATTATCCGTGTGTCCCGGCATTTCCACTCGCTCGCCCCCCAGAGGCACGTCCCATGCCTGGGACATTGTGGAGGAGACTGGCACTGCCCCGTGAGCGTCGTGTGGCCTCGTGGTCACTGGCTGAGAAACAGTGGCTCTGACACTTTCTTTGCACGGAGCTCCTGAGCCCCCGGGGCTGCACCTGCAAAAGCATTGGAGGGAGGGAAGCCTCACCTGGGTCCTCCCGCTCCGTAGCCACCCAGCGCCTGCCACCCTGCACCTGGGCCGCTCTTCCTTTCCAATGGAATTACCTATTCATGTCATGAAATTTTGGCAAGTGTGAAAGGAAGGACAGCTACTTCTAGCCTTCTTCCGAATTGCAGTTGCTTTTCACGTTTTGCACTATTCCCTTCTGGTCTTTCTTCCACGGGTGTTGAGTTTTATTTAATTGATGTCATAAAATACAGATAATTTGGTATTATTTTCTCATGCCTTTTTATGACAAGCGCGTTCCTGCGGAATTGGGGCTCTGTGAGTGGCTCTGAGGGCTGTGCAAGCTCCCCGAAGTGGGGCTCTGTTGCCGCCCCTCCACATGTATTTGTGTCTTCCAGGTCATTAGTGGTGGCATCTGTGGTTTTGGACACAGTACCGTTCCTGTGGCTTGGACAGGTGTTCAGAGAGGAGCTGCTGGCCGAGGGCATGGAAAGTCAGGCTCACGGCGCCTTGCATGCATCCTCACGGACTGCCGTGTGCTGGAAAAGGATGTAAACTTGACAGGCCCTTGTACCCTGGAGCTTGAGGTCCAGCGGGAGGGCTGGGCAGCAGTGCAGACTACCTGTGTGCCACGGCAGGGGATCTGGGGACCTGTGATCTGAATGCAATTGTTCTGGGGAAGTAGAGTCCAAGGCAGGAAGCGAAGGTGGGCGAGGAGGTTGCAGAGGTGAGATAAAGGCCCAGGCAGGTAGGTGGCAAGTTCGAGTTCTGCAGGCACAGCCGTCACGGGGAGCCCTGGAAGTGTCTGTGCACCTGTCTGTGCTCTCAGGAGCTGTAGAGGGTTGTAAGCGTGCATGCTGGGATGTCTGTGATGCCTGGGTAGGAGGGACCAGCCTTTGGGTGGCTGCGGGATTCCCAGGAGACCTCGTGAACTCTTGCTTAGCCTCCTGCAGGCCCTGGCGTCGGAGGCTAAGGGGTGAGCTGAGACCCCTTCGCTGGGTGGTGTTATGCCTTGGGGTGCTCTGGTGGGTCTCCTCCCCACCCCTTCCCCATGAGCTCCACTTCTCCTGGGGTGGGTTCCTCTGTCTTCCCAGCCCCGTCTGAGATGTACAGTGTGTAACCCCAGGTGCTCCGCCCAGAGGATGCGGTCACAGTCCTTGCAGAAGAGGCAGATGGGCCCCTCCGCTCACAGCCACGTTCCGTTCCCGCTGCCACACGACACGTGTGTGATGAATGTTTGCTTCAAAACTGGCTCGGGGTGTGGGGTTGCTGCCTGTTGTCTCCAGAAGGCACACATGTGGCCCAGAGGGCTTTGAGGTGACTCCCAAAGTCGAGCCCCCACTGCATCTACCCTGGAAGGGACAGCTGGTGCCCTGTCACGCTGTCTCTGTCCTCCGTGCCTGTGGTAAGCGCTGGCATCCTGGCTCGTCCTCCTCCACTGTGGTCCTCGGGCTCTGAGCATCCTGGGCCCTGAGGCTCGGCCGGAAGACCTATTTCTGCCTTTTGTGTTTTAATCTTTTGCTTGTAGTGCAGGTCCCCTGGGTAAGTACGTGTCTCCCTGACATGCAGTCGGAGTGCACAGTACACTGGCGGCCATCACCGGGCCGTGGAGTGCACAGACTTGTGAGGTGACTTTTTGGTTTTTAACAGGCCCTGGTCCACGTTGGTGGCTCCCTGAGAGCACTGTTGGCTGAGTCAGACAGATTGGAAGGATTCCTGCTCTGCAATCCACTGAATCGCTTACAGCATATGCTTTTGCTTCTCCATTTCCTCATCTGATAAATGGGTCCAAGAGTGGCTCGCTTATTTGCTGTGTGCGCTGCAGGCCTGGCGCAGGATGGGTCCTGGGTTCCCGGAGGGAGGCAGCATCTTTTGGGAACCCCAGGTGTGAGCTGCTAGGTACAGGCTGTGCGAGCCAGAGCCTGTCCTGTGCTGCCCTGTGCTGACCCCTCCCTGTCTCTCTTCTCTTTCCAGCCTGTGACCTCATGACGCAGGGCATCCTGGCCTTGGTCACATCCACAGGCTGCGCATCTGCCAACGCCCTGCAGTCCCTCACGGACGCCATGCACATCCCACACCTCTTTGTGCAGCGCAACCCCGGGGGCTCCCCGCGCACCGCCTGCCACCTGAACCCCAGCCCCGACGGTGAGGCCTACACACTGGCCTCAAGACCGCCCGTGCGCCTCAATGACGTCATGCTCAGGCTGGTGACAGAGCTGCGCTGGCAGAAGTTTGTCATGTTCTACGACAGCGAGTACGGTGAGTGGGCGCTGCTCCAGCGCCAGTGCAGGAGGATCCCAGACCCGAGGCTTCACCTGCGCTGGCCCGGGGTCCTTGCCTGGGGTCCGAGCTGAGCGGGGTCTGGTGGGAGGGCCAGTCTTGAACCTCACCAGTCGGGAAGAGCTGCAAAACAGATCCATAGCTGGGCACTAAAGTTGCCTAGCAACGGCGCCTTATCTTGACAGCTGAGGTTTGAATCATCTTAGAGTTTTCAATAAAATATTAATAAACTGCTGGCAGGGATGCGAAGGGTTGCGTGCGGGCAGCCATGGAGCCGCCGGCCTAAGCCTCCTGGTGGCTCCTCTGAAGATGCCCTTTGAGCTGGCCAGTGCCTGGCTTCAGGGGCTCAGGCTGGGGGAAAGAGTGAGGGCTGGCACACCCTGGGTGTCGCGCCAGCCCGGGTACTGAACCTGGGAGTGCCATGCTTGGCTTGAAGCGGCTTCTTTGAAGGCCTCTGCTGTGGGGGAAAAATTGTACTTTGCTTGTTAGGAAACCACAGAAATGGGCTTTGGGCAAATGACTCATGGTTTGCTGGTGGTTGCTCTGTATAGACACCAGTCTGTTTTGAGATAAAATGATTTCCACATTTTGCTTTAAAAAATTATGGAGATTAAGGAGATTGATGCGCAGTTATGAGAAAACATGCGGGATACCTGAGCCCAGTTCCCTGAGGTGGGTACTGTGTATAAGTCTAGTAGAGTCATGGCCGGGGTTTGATGTGGGCCCAGCCTACAGTTCTGTTCCTCCTCTGCCTGTTCATGCACACCATCATGTGGTTTTATGTCTGTGCAGTTTTACAGGTGTACAGATGAGTGTGACCCCCAGTCTTGATGACAGGTTTCTCTCCTGGGGTCCCTGGGTTACCGCTCGGTAACCATGGCCACCCGGTGTGTCCAAGGCTGAGGGGATGGACGAGGACCGGCAGCCCCTTTGCAAGGGCCAGCGTGGAATGGGGTGAACCCTTAGAAGTCCCGTTTTGTCTCCTGGTAAAATAATGCCTTTGCCAAGAATGTACTAAAAAAAGAACCAGCATATGTTTGCATTTGCCTAAATACTCTGCTTCCCTGAGACTGAGATGCCGTCCTCCGCTCTTGAGCAAATATGCTGCTTGGTGCCTTCCAGGAAGAATTGCAAGAGCAAACAGTGACTGTACCAAAATAAAGATGAGGAAGGACCTAGAACAGGGTGGCCGAGGCTCCGGGGACCCCACTGGGCTCTGTCCAGGACCAGCCTCTCTCTCACCTACCTCCTGGCAGAAGAATTGGGGACCTTGGGACAGCCCCAAGGTGACACGGTGTCTGAGGGACCGGCCCTTCCCTCGAGAGCTGCAGCGTGTTCTGGGCTGTGCCCTGCTCTGCGTGGACACTGCAGGGCTGGGGTCCCCTGTGGCGCTGTGCGTGTGGCCCTTCCTGTCCTGCTTCTCCAGGTGCAGGTGCTGTCCTCTGTCCTGGCCACGGATGTGGTGGTCTTCAGGGGCCAGCACTGCGGCCTTCTGGCCCTGTGTGGCTCCTGTGACTCCTGCATACTCTCGATGCCTGGCCAAACTTCTCCAACTCCACTTTCTTTTTACTGTGCCCTCAGTGATCAGGAGGCACCCTGGCCCCCACCTGTCCTGCAGGTCTGGCGTCTTGCAGCCAGCTTGAGGATGGAGGGCTTGTGTTTCCTGCCACCATGGTACTGTGTCTGGTTCCCCGGGTGAATGACCAAACTCACAGACCAGGGCATTCTAATCAGTTCTCCCAGAAGACTAAAAAGAGAGAGGGGGAAAAAGGGGAGGATATGATTCTAGGAGCCTGGTAGCTTTCTTCTTTGTTTAGAGAGTTCCTGGATGCCCGGAATTCCTGTGATGGTCTCCTGAGCAGCTACAGGGGAGGTGCTGGGGAGGTGCTGGGTGGAGGTGAGCAGGGAGCTGGAAACTGATGCCTGCCTGGTTCTGGTTCGAAGCTGTGGAGCTGTCCAGGGTGCTGACTCCCTGCTTGGCTCCCTCTCTAAGGGCACAGCACTTGTCCTGTGGTCTGGGCAGGACCTCCTGCCTTTGCCCACCCTGGTCTCTGGTTTCCTGCGTTGACCGTCTTTGAAGCTGGGTTGTGCTTCAAACATTCACTGCAAGATGCTAATCATCCCAGCACCTATTGCCTGTGCCACCCTGCCCTTCACACTGTCCCTTGTGCTGTGTGCTAGAGGAACGAAGGCAGCTGAAGCCCATGTGTCCCTAGAGAGCTCACCATGGGAACGCTGTGGGGGGCACCACACTGTAAGACACACAGTGCCTGTGGGCTCCCCAGAGTCCCTCCTGCCCACCCCTGCGGCACTGCCTGCACATGAGCCCAGTTAAATAGCCAATGGAGGGTGAAGACTTCTGTTCCTTGAAAAGTCAGACAGAACTGGTTCAGAGGTGGACTGAGGTGTCCTGATGCTGGTCTGTAAGTGTCCTCATCCGCATCATCACACTGAAGGTACCCAGAGTCCCGAGGTCGGCTGATTGCTGTATTTTACAAACAAAAGAAGTGAGGCTCAGAGACATTCTGTTGGACTTTATGAGTCCTGTGCGCCCACCCCAAGCACCATTCTGTTTCTTGCCTTTGGGGCTGGCTAAGCTGAAGCTTCCTCTCCTGTCCCCAGCCAGGAAAAGCGATGACAGGGAGGAGGAAGGGTGGCTTAGAATGGGCTTGGCGTGGCCTGGACCAGTGGTCCGTTGCTTCAGTGAACATCACACACTGGGCGCCCCCTCGGCGGGGTGCAGCTTGGTTCTTCTTCACTTGCTCCCCTTTAAACCCAGGAGGGTTCTTGCCTGAGTGGAACCTGGGACTAGGCATTTGAGAGCACCAGGCAGGAGGATCATGAGTTTGGAGCCAGCTTGGGCTACAGAGTGACACCCTGTCTCAGGAAACCCGAAACCAAACAAGGAAGAGGCAGAGACCAGAGAGAAAATGACACCGGGCTCCCAGACAGAATTCTGCAGAGGGTGTTTGTCACTTTCCCCATCACTGGGACAAAATTCCCAACACCTACACTTTAGGAAGTGGAGGCCCATGTTATTGGGGCTCATGTTTTAGGCATCTTTGGCCAGCTCAAAGGCAGAACAGTGTGCCATGCAGCAGGGCAGGTGCTGGTGAGCTGCTCACCTCACGGTGGACAGGAAGCAGAGAGCCAGGCGGAGCTGAAGGAGATCCATCCTTGCAGGCCATGCCTCCAGCAAGCTGCCTCTTCCAACCAGACCCCACCTCCTGATAGCAAGTCAGGATAAGCCAGGATAATCCAGTCACCCCCGAGCACATTGGGCTGTGTGTGTGTGGCGTTTTGGAGGTCTGAACCATCACAGGCATGCTACAGATGTTAGATGTCCCCCAAAGGTCCCGGCCCCAGCATGGTGCCGTGGTGAGCTGCTGGGGTCTTTAGGAGGTGGGACCTGGTAGGAGGTTCTGATGTCACTGGAGCTTGGCCCTATACTCCCACCGTAATGTACCACCCCTGCCAGAGGCTCACAGCAGTGAGGCCACCTGATTTTGGGCCCAAACCTCCAGAACTGTGAGCAGAAAGAAACCTTTCAATATGAGTCAGTTGTTGCAGGTATTCCTTTACGGGCTGGAAAGCCGACTAATGAAGGGTGGGAGAAGAGATCCAGGCATATGGTTTACAAAGTATGCAACATGCCGCTTGGTAAAATTCCATGGAAAATGCCTGTGTGCTTGTTGTGACAGCAAAAGGAAAAACAAGAGAGAAACTGACATTTGGGAGAGAAAATCTGTAACATTAAAATATCAAAAGTTTGGATCCAACGGAACAGAAAACTTTCTGTGTTTCCCTTCGAATGCTGGGATGTTTGCGCGCATGTGGGTTGGGGTGGGTGCTGGGAGCTGTGTCCCAGCTTCCCCTGGCGAATCAGTCTGGGTGCGGGTGCAGCTGTGGTGGAATCTTAGCCACCACTGACTCATTCATTCATCAGGTGGACACCGAGTCCGAGGCCGTCGCACCATGTGTTTTATAGGCACTTGGTTTACATCAAGAAACCGAGGGCTGGAGGAACTTGGATAAAGTTGCTAGGGCTGGGATTGGAAGCCAGGGCTCAGGAACTCTTTTCTTTGAAGCATTCCCAGTGCAATCCATCCATCTCGGCCTCTGGTCCAGCTTGTAGGTCTGGATGGATTGGCAGCTGGGATTCCAAGGAAACAAACCCTCAGCACTGTGCATGAGAACCCAGGCCCTAGGTCTGCTGATTTTAAATTTATTCTTTAAAAAGGAAAGTGGCGATGCCTCTGCCCAGGTCAGAGAACGTAAGTCGGTGTCCACAGCCCACAGCAGCTGTAGAACCGCCAAGGAGCCTGACGCACCCCTCTCTGCCCGCTTCCTCCCGGGGCAAGGAGGACATCTCGGCCTCTGTCTTGCTGTGTGCTGTCCGGTCCCTGGCTGTGCTGAGACTTAGTGGACCCTAAAGTTCACATCCCTCTGTGGGGCTCCTTGTGGCTTGTATGTGTGGAGCCATGTGTCCACGTATTTCTGTGACTTCTTTCTGTCCACTGGGCCTGAGATTGAGGGGTCACTGACCTCATGCGAATGCTCACATCATTTGTATTGCTCTAGTCTGTCTAGTTCTTTACCTGTCTGGGCGTGAATGGGCATCTGGGCTGTTTCCTGGGCTTTATAATTACTGAGAGTGAGGGCATCTTTGTATTTTTTTTCCTTTGGTGTTTGTGTGTGAGAGTTTTGGGGGCTCTGTTCTGAGGAGTGGAATTGCTAGATGCCTGGTTCAGTGTGGGTACCACTTTCTTAGCCTAATAAGGTCATTGGCAGATGGACGTGCTCCTGCCTGTCCATCATGTGTGTGAATTCTCTCAGTGCCCCAGCTTCACCCACACCTGAAATTGCCAGGACTTTTGGGTTTCTTATGCAAAGCACTCTCTTACTCTGATTTTAATTTGCACTCTCTTACTCTGATTTTAATTTACATTTTACTGATGACTGATGAGGTTGGACAGGAA